TCAAATTGTAAATCACATTGTGACGGGTTGTAAGCTGAGGGCATATAAACAAGGCTGCATGTTAGGTGAGCTAGACATTGGTATTTGAACATAGATCTTTTTAAGGTTTATGTTTTATTGTGTTTTATTAATCTAGATTGGGGTGTCAAACTCAAATTTCATTGAGGGTCGCATCAGGGTTGTGTTTGACCTCGGGGGGCCATGGTGGGTGTGGTCAGGGTGGGCATGGCCAGCTCAACTTCACTCAGGGGCACCTTGGTGACCTGAGTGCTCTGAAAGTGAAAACGGGCTTCTGAGCTCCATTTTCGGCTGTGACAGCTTCCTGCAACCCTTTGCCAGCAAAAACAGAGTTTAGGAAGGCTGCCCATGGCCCTCATGAGCTCCATTTTTGGCTGCAATGGTGTCCTGCAACCCCTGGCAGCAAAAGCGGCACTCAGGCCTCCCGAGCTGCGTTTTTGCTGGCAGAGGCATCATAGGCCAGGCCTTTGCTGTTTCCGGGGCAACCGCGCAGGCCAGATCTAAGCACCCCGCAGGCCAAATCCGGCCTCCGGGCCTTGAGTTTGACACCCCTGATCTGGATGAAAATCTACATGAAATACATATTGCTAGTTCATGTATGATATGTCGTATGCAAAATAAATAAATCTGTACAGGCTTTAAAATTTTTCAAGATTTGAACCCCACCTACGTTCAAGTCTGTTTGCTTCTACAAAATAGAGATCTGCAGATATATGTTTACCATCATCTCTTCCCATCCAAGCTTCAGGTCTCCAGTATAACTGATGCCTCCAATCTTTGTATTCCTGAAGGTCTTACATACTGTTAATGGAAACTGTAACACTTTATTCATTTATTAATTGATTTGAAAAGCTTCAGTCCTTAGACAAAAAAAGGAAGGAAGGGTCTTTGTAAATGAATTATTTAATTATAAAATAATTCTTGCCATCAGGCTTATAATTTAAAAGATCTCCTATTGCAACATGCAATATTACATCATTCTGAATACAGTGGAATATAGAGGGGAAAGCCAAGTTTCAACTGAATTGTTTTGTATAACAATCTCCCACAAATTCATTTAAAATATTTGTAATGTGAGCTCATCTTTTGATCATGGTTTTTTTTTTTCTCCATTCAGAAAAAGCTGGTGTGTTTTGCAATTTGTCAAGGTTTGTTTTAGAAATTACTGCTAGTTTCCTCTTTTATAAATCACTGAAAAAGCAAAGGGAGTCAAAGGGCTTCTCTGATGGGTGTGCTCAGATTAGCCTGCTTTCATACCTGTAATACAGTCATTATAAAGTTAAGATACCATGTGGCCACTTTTCACTGCCAAAGCAACTAACTTTGGAGAAATTTTCCAAGGACGCTAAAAGGAAACATCTGTAAGACAATGTAATATGCATGCAAGGCAACTCCTATTATAAAGATTACAGTCTGCATGTATATTACTTTAAGCATGTTTTATAAACCACATTAGCTGAAAATGCTTCCAGATCTGTTTATATTTTACCAATTGTTAAAAAAAAGTAGTCCCTACTAACCCAAAGGTATTTTTTCAAAAGGCAACTGGACTTCCTTTGTTTTTCCATGAAGACGTTTTGCTTCTCATCCAAGAAGCTTCTTCAGATGAGAAGTGAAGCTTCTTCAAGGAAAAACAAAGAAAGTCCAGTTGCCTTTTGAAAAAGCAGCTTTGGGACAACCATGATCTGGATGACTGAGAATCTCCATAGACAATCCCTGCTAACAAGCTTAAAATTACAAAGGAATGAAAAGAATGGGGAGGACAGAAAAAAAGGTACAAGTGTCAATCATGGAGGTTATTGTTCTTATGACTCATATGAATAGCAATGGATGAGGGTGAGTCAAAGGGAGACATGGCACTGCACTCCTATGGCACCTGCTATAATGGCAATGGACAAAAGAAGAGTCAAAAGTACTAGCTGAACAATAGGCTAAAAACTAATGTGAGATGGTTTGCTTAAGAGTTGATTGCTACTAAACCAGTAGTGAAGAATTTAATACAGATCTGTAATTATAACATTTCTGTATAAGTATTTGGTCTATCTGATGGATGGGGAAAAAGCTACTATAGGCAAAAAAAATATAGTCCAGTTGCAATGATTCAACATTCTGACATCTTTGCCTGGATGACGGAGAGTCTTCATTGGCAAATTGCAACACATTTGGGGGAGGAAACCCCTGAGGTTGGTATGGCAATAATTGGTACATTCCAATGACTCCCTGCCTAACTGGCTTGCTCTGACTGATGAAGCTGCTTGGATGAGCAGTGAAACATCTCAAGCTAACAAAAATTAACCCAGTTGCCACAATTCAACTTTCCAACTACTATCTTCTTCTTCTTTTTCTTGTGCCATATCCATCATCGGACACTGGCAATCATGCTGGCAATCCTATTTTTGTCAACAGCCGTATGAAAAAGTGCTGCTGGGTTTTGTCTAAACCAGTCCCTTAGGTTTTGAACCCATGATGTTCTTCTTCTGCCTGGACCTCGTTTGCCTTCAATCTTTCCCTGGAGGATTAAGTGAAGGATGCCGTATTTTTCTGGGTGTCACATCACATGTCCAAAATATTCTAACTTTCACTTTTTAATGGCTTTATTTCCCTTTGCTTTCCCAGGCAGCTTACCACCTCATTTGTGATTTTGTTAACCCAGCTTATATGTAACAGTTGCCTGTAAATCCACATTTCAAATGCTTCTAGTTTCTTCAAGTGGTTTTCTGTCAAGAGACCAACTCTCTACTTCGTAGAGCAGGATAGAAAAGATGTAACATCTGACAAGCCTGATTTTCAGTCTTAGGCTTATGTTGTGACTGCAGAAGACCTTTTTCATTTTGAAGAATGCTGTTCAAGCTTTCTCTATCCTTGTCTTTATGTCATGTCTCAGCTTTCATGTAAATTAAAACTGAGGTAAGTGATCCTTTCAACTTTTTCTAATGGTATTCCGTCCGAATTTATCAGTGGTAAATTAATGGGTTGTTTGCTGATGACCATGATCTTGTTTTTTGAGGTGTTAAGCTTCAAGCCATATTTTTCAGATATTTCTGAGACTCTGTTGATAAGGAGCTGAAGGTCTTCATGCTTACTGGCAAGCAGAACTGTATCATCAGCATATCTTAAATTGCTGATCTGAACACCATTTACTTTGAGGCCAGCATCAATGTTTTCCAGTGCTTCGTTGAAAATCACTAGACTAAGAAAAAGGGGAAGAAATACAATAGTATTACTTGGAAAACCACTATGAAACAATGCTTTAAAAGTAAAAAAAAAATGTTATATGTTGTGTAAATGTTTTTCTATGTGTTTTCTATGTATTTTAATATATGTGTATTAATAAAGCTTATAATTTTTTTTTTTAAAAAAAAAGAAAATTGACTCAGAATAGATATTAAATAACAGCGGAGACAGAATACAGCCCGACTACTATAGGCAAGTATAAATATCCAGACATGATACCATGAGGATAATTCTATCTTGAGCAGAGAGCTAAATGATATTTAAGCATAATTGTGGGCTTATTTATCCCTCCCTAAACACTGATTCACAATGCTATCTGGTACCCTTATTAATATTGGGTGAAACAAAGTTCCTTAGTAAGACCCAGCTGAAACTTCAAAATAATAGCTCTCAATGAATCATTGTAGCCGGCACTATTTACAGTTTTCTTTGCCAATGTGTTTCCCTGCATGAAATTTGGCCTTCAAAGAATACAAACTGCCCAACAAGAGAAGTTACTAACATTTAAATGGCTACATAGACAGGAAGGAAAGGTATTATATAGTTTCTTTCAAATCATAGCCCTAGCAAATTAACTCAGTAGCCAGAATTTTCTCTACATCATTTCAAAATCCTAATCCAATTGCATTTTCCTGGAAAAAAAGAGTACACTAAGCACCCAGTCATTTCCTAATTACCTGGGAATAAGCACCTTCCCAACATAAATGATCTAAAATGGCTACACCACCTAATGATTGTTAGTACTTGTACTATATACTATATGTGGTCCTGTGCTCATTTTAAGCCCACATTGAGTCCAGAAGGGGAAAAAACTGGAATGTACATGATTTCAGAAAATAAGCATTCCTTGTTTGTTGTATAATTAGTGTAAAGGAAATAAGTTTTTAACCATAGCTCACAATATGTACTGTTTATTCGATTCAGAGGTACAAATGCATTATGAAAGTACAAGACATTTTTTTGACCAGTTCTAGTCCAAGGGGTGGGGGACTATTGGCTTTAAAAAAAGGTTGCTAAAAGACCATTTCAAGTATTTCAGCCAGGACTGTCAGTGGTGAAAATGCTGGGTACTGCAATTTATCAAGATCCGGAGCAGGGAACCCCAAACTTTTGAGAGCTGGTGGAGACAGGCAGGAATATCTTCAAAATGCAGGTCAAAGATCCTGGCAAGTGTCAATGGGCAAACTGATGCCTGTTAGCACCATGCAGGATAATTTCCCCCTATATTCCTCCCAACCACAACTTAACCATTTCTGCTTTCAACACAATATACAATTAATAGTATCTCAATTATTACAGTTCCCTAGTTAAATAGAGCTTTCCCCTTATGTTACTCATTTTTACATCTTAAACTCTCCCAATAACCCAAATATTGGGTTATTGACCTTAATACATTCTCATCTGCTATAACTTTTTCAGATATTGGGGGGAGGGGGGGGAGAGCAGCCGCAAGGGTAATAAGAATTACAGAACGAATAATCGTCGCTCAAAGAGTGCATGATATACTGTAGCAGCTGATATACTGTAACAAACAAAACCTGGCATTGGGCTCAAGGCTTAAAACAAGCCACTCTTAGAATGCTATTCCCACAAGCAAAGCCCCGCCAAGTCCCATTCATTGCAACCCCGGCCTTCCCCTCGGAGAAGAGAGAGCGCGCGCGGCTTAAGAGCGCGCAACAAGTTGCAACAGCGTTGCCACCGCCCCTTCCGCCTTGCCGCGTCTCTGCTTCTGCCGACGACCCTTCCTTTCCCGAGGGCGCCCGGGAGTTTGGTGCTTGGCACTGGCGCCACCCGTGACAGCGGGCAACCTCCCCACGACCACAGCCAGACACGCACCTGCAACTTCACTCTTTGACCCGCACTCGGAGCCTGGCCTCGACTGGTCACGTGCTCCCGGCCGTCCAATCCGGACCGGCTAGTAAATTTGTTCGGGAGCTGCTCAGAAGAATTTGGTGAGAAGACCCAGGAGAAGCGCCCGATCGGCCGTAGCGGTGGCGGCGGCGTTGCCTTTAGCCGCTGAGGCCGCCTTCGGATCTCCCGCGGTCTCCGTTTTCCCCACCCTCTCGGTTCCGCCAGCGCTTTACCTGCGGCTTTTCCCATCGCCCGTCTCCTCTTCTCGTTCCTGGCGTGGCTCCCTTCTCTCTCTCACCTGGGCCCCCTCGGACTGCACGGCAGCCCTTTGCAATCGCCGCTCGGACTGCACGGCACCCCTTTGCAATCGCCGCTTCTCTGCGATTTCCTCCTGCTTCTCCTCCCCCGCTCTCTCTCTCTCTCTCTCCCCCCGATTCCCTCATTTCATTTTTTTCCCCATTTTATCTCCGCTTTAACTTCCCTTGCTTGATTTTCTTGTTCTCTCGGGCCGGGTGGCCCTTGGATTTTTTTTTTTTTTCCTCCCAGGCTCCGTATAAATCACTCCACGCAAACTTTCTTTGCCTCGATCCCATTTATCCCGAACGCTTTTCACTTCCTGCTTTGCCACCAGTCCTTTCCCTCTGCTCTGATATACATCGGGATTGTGCTTTCTTTCTCTGACTCCTTCACTCTTTCCCTCATTGTTACCTTATGTTGTCCTGCCTCTCTCTCATCACTTTCATAACTCAAAAGCTTTAAGCCTGCACTCCAAATGTCTGATCCGAATAGTGTGATTTCTACTCCTCACTCATCTCATGCTCCAATCCCCCTCCCTTGTCTTAACCAGGTGTCCCTTTTCTTTTTGCTTTGTTTCACTCCTTTCCTAGCACTTTTATGCTTGCCTAAAATAGGGAAGAGTTGGCTTCAGTAGCAACAACGTTAATTAAGAGCCGAAGAAGCTTCTTGGATGAGGAACGAATGGTCTTCAAAGAAAAAAAATCATAAACTCCAGTTGCCTCTTAAAAAAGCACCTTTAGGACAACTTCATTAATTGTTCTCAAATGCTAAGGCGGAAGCTGATGTGGTTAGTACCTGGATCTTGACCATGGCTTTGCTGAGTTCTGAGGGAACAGCTGAAGGGAGCTTGGGGACCAGTAGTAACTCTTGCCCACTGTGGACCGTGTTGTATGACTATGAAGCCACTGGAGAAGATGAGCTGAGTTTGCGTAGAGGGGAAATGGTGGAAGTTTTGTCTAAAGACGCAGCAGTGTCTGGAGATGATGGGTGGTGGGCCGGTAAAATCCATCATCGTCTTGGCATCTTCCCAGCAAACTATGTGACTTACCAGCCAGGCTGTTACCAACATCCCCAGTTAGGATTGTTGGAGAAGACTGGGCATCAAACCCAAGATCTGACCACTGGTGATGGGCACCCTGTAGATCACGAAGACCATATGGGTTCTCTAGCAGAGATTGACTTCCAGCATCTGGAACTGCAAGAGATTATTGGAGTTGGAGGCTTTGGTAAAGTTTATAGAGCAATATGGAAAGGCCAAGAAGTTGCAGTGAAAGCAGCGCGGCAGGATCCAGATGAGGACATCATGGCCACGGCAGAGAATGTGAAGCAGGAAGCAAAGTTCTTTTCCATGTTGAAACATCCAAATATCATTGAACTTCATGGTGTAAGTTTGCAGGAGCCCAACCTCTGTCTAGTTATGGAATTTGCCAGGGGAGGACCCCTCAATAGAGCTTTGTCAGGTACTTTCCCCACCGCTAGCGGGAGCCACTGGGGCCGTCGCATTCCTCCTCATATATTAGTCAACTGGGCAGTACAAATTGCTCGAGGGATGCTTTACTTACATGAAGAAGCCATCGTCCCCATCCTTCACAGAGACCTCAAGTCAAGTAACAGTAAGTATTTTGAACAGTTTTTTTTTTAAAAAGGACAATTTATGCATACTTTCCCATGTTTCTATATTATAGTAATGAACAGAACCATGAAAACTTTTATTTATAAACTTTGCATTGCAAAAGTGCTATTTAAGATGCTTATCATTTTATACTTTAAGAATTGATTTTTTTTCAGTTATCAGATATGTTACAAGTTCATTCCACCAAATTGAATCAAGTCTTTTCTCCTCTTTAGTAACAATAGTTATACTTAAGCGTTTTGATACTTACTTGTGTTTGATTTCTTGGAAAAATGGAAGTCTTCTCATGATTCATATGCAACAGGGAGACCTGAAGAAGTCTCTTCTATGAAATCTTGCCTTTTCTTATGAGTTATTAAAACTGAAACCTTAAGGAACCAGTCCCAAGAGCATATAATTTTGAATAGTCATAAATAGAATCAGACTGTAATGCTATTATGTAATTTTAAATGTGTTGCGTGAGTTGTAATTATTAGCTGGATAAAGTAATGATGCTGTCTAACTCAGTGAATTGGTATTTTTATTTCATCTTTTTAGAAGAAAGCAATGATAGTTTACTATGCAATCTTTTCATTCTTTTCACCAGTATTCACTTAAGGCATTTAATCTAATTTTTAAGCATAGAAAAATTTAAATAAAATAGATAATTAGAATTACTGATTTGATGCAATATGTTAGCAACACCTAGGGTGTTCTTTATGAAGAAAATCCCATTTCTTGACATCAGAAAATAATAAATAAAAGGAAGTTTATTGTAGTATATTCTCCAACAGATATTGTTTGGAATCATTATTGTTTCAGTGATGAAACAGTTTGAAAGTCTACCTCCAAGGCAATGAAGGAGAGTGGCCTAAAATACTTCTTAGTTTGTGATGCTATAGAAAGTAAGTTTTTTAACATTGATTGTCCTTCAGTTTCTGTAATGGAACTCCTTGAACTTTAAATGAATTATTTTCATTTTAAAGCCACACCCTTGTCCAAGACAAATTTCTTTAGAACATATAATAATGTTTATATCCATGATCCCAAAATACCCCTAAAATTATATATTGCCATTTTTGGTTTGTGTATTATATACATTTCTAGGTTTTAATAAACACTATTGTATGTGTACCATAGGTGAAGTTCAACTCATGAGATTCTTTTTTTCACAAGAGACAGAAGAAACATTTGTGATGGGAAGCTGTAGCTCCTACCTCATAGATGGTTTCTTACATAAATGAAGGCAATAATAGGATATAGGAAAGAAACAAAACAAATATGCACTTCCCTTGCAATAAGTAATTGAAACTATGTTGTCTCTGCTGTTTTATTCCTAATCTGTAATTTGGATTAAAAACAAAAGATACTCTTCAGTCAAGATCAATGTCTAGTGAATGTGTCCTTGTAGTTATTCTTGTTGGCATGTTGGAAGTCATGTACCATTAGCTCCTTTGTTTTTCCAACTACCTTCCCTAGCCAGGAGCCATAGAATTCCTGGGTGACTATAAGCCTGAATTTATTTAATTTCTATCATTAGACAAGGTCATCTAGGTTCTACTACCTGCCCAGCCATAAAATGGACAAGGATCTTGCAATTGTCAGCATTAAAACAATCATAACTTTGAGTGGATGGCATAGTCCTGATCCAGGCACAGCCCATCTTATTAAGTGATTTTGGGCAATTTACAGTTCATTAGTTCATCTCATGCCTGTTAAATCTTCTCTAGACGGGACAGATTTTGACAGATATGAAGCAGACAGAAAAGCAAAATGTATTGGTGAACAAAATCTATATTGCCGATCAGCCAATATGAAAAATTGGGATTCAAGAATTTTCTGCCTATACTGTACTGAGTTGAATTCAAATTTAGATTCAGTCTTATATAAAACATAGTTGATTGGCCTTATATAACATAGTAAATGAAAAGTGAACAAACTACATTTTATCTTAGAGCAGGTCACTGGATTCAATTCATAGCTATAAATATAGAAATCTCTTGTAGCTATTATTAGATGTATAGTCCCAATTTTAGAAAAGTAGGAAGACATGGTAGCCTGGTCCTGTAGAAATTTTAAAGCAGTTAAAATCTACATTGTAGGGAGTTTGTTGATTAGCAAGAATTAGTATTTAGCTCTGTTTGCCTAGTTATATAGACCTGCATGATGGTTCATATGTCATTCATTCATACACATTAGCAATATGCAGCAATTTAGAACCAAAGTGGAGAATATGCTTTAGAAGGGATGTGAATGCATTCACTGCAACACAGGGCATCTCCTTAAAGAGGCTCTACCTTTCCTAGGTTCACAGAGTAGCTCCACAATTCCAGGAAAATGATATTTCCATCAGGGATGCCATCTTATTGCAGCACCCCTAACTCCTTAATATGCATTTTCCTATGACTGCACAGCTCGGAATGTGTTTGCACGGAAAAATCCACAGGTTTTTGAAGAAGACATCAACCAATGTACCAAGCCTACCCTATCTGCTCCAAAACACCTTTTCCTTCAGAATCAAATATCTGTGTGTAACTAACAATGGCCAAATATATTTCATTTGGTTTGATGAGGCGCATCCATTGCAAAATAGATGATCCTCCCAGAAATAGAAAATTAGGAAATCCCTTCAAAGTAGGATTTAGAAGAGAACCAGTATGGCATAGTGGTTAAGGTTTCGGGCTTGGGCTGAAGGTCATTCTTAGCAGTGGAAGCTCACCTATGACTTGGGTTTCTCCAATCAGTAGTTCTCTCCCAAACCTAGCCCATATTTTGTTGGAGAAAAAAAAAACAGGAACAATTGGCAAAACATGTGCAACTGTGTCATCCTGTGTATGACATGACTTACATACCTTTGTCAGACCTCTGAATGCAACTTGAAACCTGGCATCTGACACAAGTATGTAAGCTGCAGCATTTGCATGATGATGTCACTTGTCAATTGGGCACAATTGTGGTTTCCTAAGGATATTGCTGAATAGGAGGAAATAGCGTGTACACCACCTTGAACTCCTGGAAAAAAGGCAGGATGTAAATCTAACAAATGCATACTATATGTATCTTCAACATGACTACCCCCCTACCATAGCCCATGAGTGAAATATGTCTAAATGTAATGCAGTTATGGGAATCCTAAAAGAGACCATCAGGAGAGCTGGAGTATATTCAATGAAATATAGCCCTCACAATCTGCTAAAAGTTTACTCAAAGCCTATACCCGTGATGACGAACGCGTGCCATAGGTGGCATGCAAAGTCCTCTCTGCGGCACGCGAGCTGTCACCCCAGCTCAGCTCCACTGCACATGTGCGCGCCTCCCACCAGCCAGCAGATTTTTGGGTCTCTGCCTTGCATGCGCGGGGGGCGGGCAGGGGTGGAGCACACGTGGGTGGGGGTGGGGGGCTGCACATGCATTGCATTATGGGTTATAAGTGCAGGGAGGCCTACTAGGTCCAAAACGGGACGGGGGGGACGTGGCCTCCCCTACAGCCTGTTTTTGTTCCCAGGAGGCTGCAGGGAGGCCTACTAGGCCCAAAACAGGATGCTGGGGGAACACGGAGGAGGGCTGCGTGCATAGGTGCAGGAGGGAGCATGGGGGGGGGTCACGCATGCACACGGGTTCAACAAAAAGGTTAGCCATCACTGGCCTATACCATTTGTCTAAAACTTTACTCTGAAAAGTAGTATAATGAAATCAATCCTGCAGCCTCTGTGGTACTTAAATTGGTGTGTGGAGTAATGCAGATGCTTCTTCATTGAACACTTCACCAGTGCAAGGTTGTCGTCAGAGGTTTAAGGAGGTCCAGATCAGGAAACTAACTGCAAGAAGACCAAAACTAGGTTTTACTGATTTAGACTACATTAACAGAATCAAATATTCACAGTAACATTGAGCTCACTTCTACAACCGTTCTCCATAGTTCTAGGACTTCCTTATGGGTCTCAATTCTAAATGACTATTTAAGTAATTGAAAAAAAGGATTGTGGACTGTATTCTCAGTTGCTCATAAATAGGTCACAAATAGGATCTCAAAGCATTTTTTCCCCTGCTATATCACGGTGGCTCAGTGGCTAAGACGCTGAACTTGTCAATTGAAAGGTCGGCAGTTCAGCGGTTCGAATCCCTAGTGCCACGTTAACAGGGTAAACTCCTGTTACTTGTCCCAGCTTCTGCCAATCTAGCAGTTCGAAAGCACATAAAAAATGCAAGTAGAAAAATAGGGACCTTTGGTGGGAGGGTAACAGCGTTCCATGCACCTTTGGCATTTAGTCATGCCAGCCACATGACCACGGAGACATCTTCAGACTCTTCGGCTTTGAAACGGAGATGAGCACCGCCCCCTAGAGTCGGGAACGACTAGCACATATGTACGAGGGAACCTTTACCTTTACGTTTTTATGTCCCCATGATGCTTCCCTTATGAAGTTATTCAAAGTTAGGTGTATAAAGGTTGTTAAATTTCGTGGTGCAAAGTCTGCCACCATAGCAAGTGTGGGAGGTGGTAACGGTTCAAATCCTACCCCACAGCCCTGGAACTTATTGTGTGGCTTTAGTTTGGCCGCCCTTTTTGAGCCCAATCTACATCATAGGACTGTTGTTGTGGGGGAAAATATTTGAATGTTATGTAAATCAATGTTTCTCAAACTCAGCAACCTGAATATGTGTTGTTGGCTGGAGAATTCTGGAAGTTGAAATCCACACATCTTAAAGTTGCTAAGACTGAGAAACAGTGTTGTATAGCATCTTCAGCTCCTGAAGAAAAGGCAGGATATAAATAGAATGAATGAATGAATGAATGAATGAATGAATGAATGAATGAATGAATGCTGTTTTAGTAATTACCGTTCGTTTTTTAATCATCTTTTGAAAGAAATGTATGTGTTTCTATTAAGAGGAGATGTGGTTTGTATTTGGTTGAGTCATGAGATGTTGCAAGAAATTATCCTGCTTATAGTCATAAATTACAGAATTCCATTATTTGATAGGAACAAGTTTCAGTTT